CTCAGCTGCCAGAAAGTTCTCAACCTCTATAATGCTCAAAAATAAGAATCTGTCTCACCTTTAATTCATATATTTGAAGCACCTGCCAGTGCTAAACACTAAAGAAAATGCAACTGATATATTGGCATGACATGCTATTTATCCACCCCCAGCCCCATATATGATGGCTTAATATGATGGCCTTGGTCACATAACATACTGAAGTACAAACCCCAATTTAGCTAGTCTAGTTGTGTAAACCCACCTCACACTATTTGCCACACAAAATACATAGTTTCTTTAATTTATCACATTCCTATTTATAGTGATCCTAATTTTATTGTTAGTGCACAGAATTGCAATGGTTCACAAAGTGGTTAATGCTGATGTGGCAACAGATATGTAGGAAACAATAGCATTGCCCTACAAGTATTATCCTGTGCAAATGACACACTTATTTTGTTATGAAAGTATCCTTAATTTGTAAAATGCTGAGATCTGGCTCCAGATCTGATGAGGGAAGTTTAAATTATTTGATAAATGGGCTAGCAGAATTAGCCATTCTTCCCAATCTATCCATGTCCATATAAGGCCATCAGTTAGAGTTTACAAAATATGCTAGGCATGGTCATTTGTAGTTGGGGTATCAAAATTTGAAAGATTCCCAGCTGTATACAACTAGTGCAGGAGCTTTTCAGGATACTGTGTGACAATTACCATGAGGAATCAAAGGGAATGGTAACTTGCAGCCTATGAGAAACTCTTTCCTCTTGATGAGAAGAGGCCCTGGATCCAAAGAGCTGTGGAACTTGTTCTATAAATCCATAAAGCTCTTTAGATTTTCCAAATGCAGGAACCCCATATATTCCATAGGAGTGTCCATTACATGTTCTCAAATTCTAAATGTACACAAAGACCCAGAGAAATTTGGGACCCTATGATGAAAGAAAAAGGATTAGAAAGTACAACTTGTTTGGTCCAAGTCTTGGTGTGGGGCAAAGGAGCAACTTGGCTATGAGTTTAAAATTACTATTCAGGGAATGTCTTAATGACTGTTACTCAGATAGTATTTGGTTAAGCTGCTTAATCTGAGGATTTAAATTCAAGTGTTTTATCTTTGAAAAATAGATGTTGGCCAAGTTCCCTTCTCAGTTCCCTTCAAACACCCTCCCCCAACTCAGTTAAGATATCAAACATCTGGCACTGTGTTATGGGACAACATGAATGTTATGTTATGTGAGAATAATTATTGTTAGCATCGTTAAATTGTTACATGCTCTTTTATTGGTTCCAAAGCTATTTGTTGATCACAATATGTCTGTCAATTTCTCAACTGCAATCAGTTATACATTGCAGCTCTATTTTACTTTGTAAAGCAAATCTAAGATGATAATGCTTATGAGCAAAACACATGATCATCAGTATGTTTATGATACGCACCTATTTATATTGACTACTTAATGCTGTCAAGAGCTTGTCCCAGTGCCTGGAACTATTTGGGTCTGGATGGCAAGAAACAGGCTTAAACTAAACCCTGAGAAGACCCAGTGGCTATGGCTGTATGATTCTTTCCATCTTTGATTCTGAATGGAGTGGCACTTCCCCATATAGAACTGGTACACTACTTTGAAGACTTTCTGGGCTCATATCTCCTGTTCAGAGATGGCAGCTGTGGCCAGGAAGGATTCATTTAATGTGCCAACTGCATCCTTTCCTGGATTGTGAGTTCCTTCCCATGGTTATTCATGGCTTAGTCACCCTGCATGTGGATTATTACAACCTGCTCTACATGAGATTGCCCTTGAAGACCACTCAGAAGCTACAGATGGTCCAGAATGCAGCAGCATGAGCAGTTATGAGTGCACCTCAGTACCCCAATGTAAAACATCTGCTGTATGCAAGTTGCACTGGTTACCAGTGAGCTTCAAGGTGCAATTCAAGGTGCTAGTTATTATCTATTAAGCTCTTCATGACATAGGGCCTGGCTGCCTGAGGGACTGCTGTTCTTCCATCATTTCTGCTTGCCATGTAAAATCCAGCAGAGGTGTATTTCACATTCTATCCATTAAGCCAAGGGTTTTCAATCTTTTTCAGGCTGTGAAACCTGTTTATTAAAAAAAAATCCTGGAAGCCCTGATCAAGAGGCAAAGCTCAAGTCATAGAAAATTGGCTGTAAACATGTTTTTTTTTCTTTTAACCATAGTCTCTTAGTACAGAACCCCACACTAAGCAATGCCATCTAATGGGATGTAGGAAGCATACCTTCTCTGTCACGGCATCTGCCCTTTGGAATAGCATCTCCCTAGAAGTTCAGACTGCCCTGCCGTTACAAGCCTTTCAACGATTGCTAAAAACCTGTTTTTTCCCCCAAGTTCTGGGATACATCAGCTGTTCCCATCTGGTATGCAGTATCTCTTTCAGTTAGGGTATGTCTTGTTTCCTAATTATAATGATTGTTATGTTTACTTAACATAACAATCAGATAAACATTTTATCTGTTTTTAATTTGTACACTGCCCAGAGTCAGGGTTGAATTGGGCAGCCTTATAAATCATAAATTTTACAAAATCCAACATACTTTGCAGCCATAGGTATTACACATGCTTACTTATATATTGCAGTTATAAAACAGTTTTGCTGCATACAACTCCCTAAAGTCAGGGTACATCCAAGAGAATATTTTACTATTGGTGGCACTGCTTCATCTTTCTCTCTTCCTCATTCTGCTAGGTAGAAAGATGCAACAGTATTCCAATAGGCCACTGCTTGAGATAATAGTCTGTTAAATCATTTTGTTATTTTCAGGTTGTGTTATTTGTTTTGCTTAATATCAGGTAAGTATTCTTAATGTTTGTGTTTGCTTTTATTATCATTGCTAACAATAATCCCAAAAATCCAAAACTAGAAACTTCACCTATCTAATGATAGGGCCTACTGAAAGTTATACTGCTTACTCTAGTAGGAAAATAATTTTACAATTTATTTATTTTTAAAAGTCATACAATACATATAATTGTATTATTTCCAAACAGCCAAGACAACATACAAGGCAGGATAAATACTATTTAAATTTATTTACATGGAGACTCAACAGAAGATCATTTTGAGTGACACATGTCTTAGTTTTTGATTTCAGTAAGATGTTATCTATTAATTAGCCAACTTAGACACTTGCACTGGTTGAGATTCCAGTAACAATGGTAAGCACCATCTTTCATGATTATGCCATGACTTTGTAATAAGACAGGGTTTATCTCTATAGTAAACTACACTACATATTACTGAAATGTTTGTTTTCAAGTTTTATACACACTCAGTAAATTACAAGTTCTACTCAGGGACTAAGAACCATTGAAATAAATAAGACATTAAACTAAGACAAGGTTAAGTTCACATGAGAAGTAAACTTAACTTCATGAGAAGTAAAATTGTTTCTTTTTCAGCAGAGTGCTAATTTATTGTTTCATATATTATCACTGTGCTAGAAATATCTACCTTTCATTTTACTTCATTTGCATTATTTTGCTAGACCCTAGCTTTCTTCCCTTTTTTTCTTAAAAAAAAAAAAGCCCAAACAAATCTATCACCAACGCTATTCCACCTATTCTACCATCTTCTATAAAAAATTTTAATGTGAAATTTTCTCAACAAAACATTTTGAATTCTTCATTGGCTGACCTATATCTGATTTAAAAAACCCTGATGTTAATAAATAGTTATGTAAAATATAAAATGGCGAATGCTCAGATTTTGAATTACAAAACACTTCAAATAATTTTAATAAAATGTGTTCAGTTCTTATCTTTATCTTCCACATAATTACATTGATCTACATGACTTATGCGCAGATGACACACTACTACTACAGGCAACATATTTCATTCTCAACATTGGAAAAATGTTCTTTGATCAAATGATCACAGAAATAACATCAAGAATAGGAAACTGGATAATTCCAAGATATTTCCAAAAGTCACAAGAGAAAACAACATTCAACATGGATAAGCCAAAAATCATAATTTCCAGCAACCCACTTCACAAAGATAAAACAGTAAGTCAAGTCTGAGTGCAAGAATACCAGTGTGGAGATCACCGTATCTGTGCAGCACAGTGGTGATGTTCTGTAATGTTACCTGATTGCTCCCCATCCAAACATAAAACTTGTTATTGTGCCAGCATGTGTTACAATAGGCAGAGGTACATGGATGCTGCTGATTCTGTAAAGGGTTTGTTTTTGCCAGGCAACAAATGTTAAGAAAAGAATTTAGGCAGGAACAAAACACCCTAATGGCCACAGAATTAACCCCCCCCCCATTTATAATAGACGGTAATTGGCACAGGAGCCCCAATAAAAAAGCACGCAGCAGAGATCTCTAGGGAAAAAAGTGGCTCGCGCGGAGAGCAGTTTGGCTGGGTGTCAGAAGGGGAGGATCATGCGCACAGAAGGGGCAGCGTCAATACGGGAGACAGCGGCGTTTGCAGTTTTCTCTATTTCAGGAGCGAAAGCGAGGAGGAAGCAGCCTAGAAAGATCGGAAGATGCGGGAGGAAGGAGGAGGGCTCCAAGGGGATGAATGAGCGTTGGTCTGTGAGCTAGCGAAGCGGAGGAGGGATCCGGAAAACAGTTGCCTTCATGGGAGGCGACGAAAAGGGAGTCGATGTTGCAGGCTGCAACGTTTTGTAGAACTGCATCCAGAGGACTGGGGGAGGAAGAAGAAGTAAGCTTTGCCACCGATTGTGGTTTGTGTTTTTCGACACGGCGGGGGGGGGCGGGGGGAGACAGGCAGAGAGAGGAGAAGTGTTGTTGAATCACAGTAGCGCCAAGGAAAAAGTGTGAGCTTTCTGGTGAGAAAGAAGTAGGAGTGATGAGAGAGCAAACGGGAAAACCAGAGGAAGCCACGGTTGCTGCTGGGCTCCACCGGGAGTACGGTCGTCTCTGCTCTGCTCACTCCTGCTCCTGGGAAAGATTGGAGGAGCCTCAAGTGTCCGCCACTCCCTGGCTGCTCTTTCACCAGCCGGGACTATGGAGACTTTAAACGACACCAGCCTCACCGAGCCTCTCAAGCCGCTGCCGCCCTCGCCGCAGAGTCCCCACCACTCCTTCGCCGAGAAGAAGCGGCTCCACCGAGCTCCTTCTCCTGCCAGACCTTTCCTCAAGGATCTGCACGCCCGGGAGTCTTCGGCCAAGCCTCCGCCGGTGCCTCCCAAGTC